TTTTACATTTTTGAGCCAAATCTCAAAATTGTCCTATGGTGTGACTGTCTCAAGCATGGTTCAGTAGATTACAAGTTTTATAAATAAATAAAAAAACATCAAAATGTTAATAAATACCTCCGGCACAATTGTACAAGTGTCTATTTTAGTAAATGGCAATCATTTTTTTTATCCATATATTTCTGAAAGCGTAGGAACTTGATATATTTTGTCTCTGAAAACCATGTCCTATGGTGTGACACCATATCCTGATTTTAAATTGGCCAATTCCAGAACAAAATTACATTAGTTGAAGGACCCCATTCATGATTATGTTACTGAAGCCCCCTGTGAAGCCCATGACATGTGCACATGGTCAATTTCTGTCTCAGAATTGAACCACTACAAAAGTGTTACGTTTTGTTGTCCATTGGTGTGACACCCTTAAATTATATTTTTTAATTAAAAACTGCATGTTAAATTACATAATCATGGAAAATTATGCAAATGTGTCTTGCTAACCGCTAATGACATGTTAACTCAGAATAGCAAGGTCATTAATTGACAGGAAAAGGCTGAAACGTCCTGTGGTGTGACAGAAAATGTCCTCCGGTGTGACGCCTGTACTGTCACACCATAGGACAAAGATGTCACACCACAGGACAAGGTCTCTTTAAAAAGCATTTTAAATAATTAAATAAGATTTAGTTAACTCCTTTTTATTCTTTTTTTGATCATTTTCAGTGTTCTTAAATGCAATAATTACATTAAATACACAATTTTCTGATGTTTTTGCAGAAAACTTGTACTGTTATAAAGTGTCATGAAAATAAGTATAAAATGTGCTCATTTGTTTATGAAACTGAAAGAATTGAGGGAGAGAAATTACTGGAAGAGAAAGGACATGGAAATATAGACAGAAAATGAACAGGGATCCACCAGAAGGGAGGAGATCCTAAGAGAACGATGCAGAAAGTAAATAGAATCAAAATGATGCCTTAAAAAGAGTAGCCATAAAGTTTTAAAAAATTCATTCACATCTTAATGAATATAGTTTGAATATCAATCATATTTAGCTGTGCCACACATGTAGCAGCGGGGCTAGAAATGTTTCAGTAACATACTGATTGACTAAGAGACTGACTTTTGTTGATGAAAATAATTTTTTGTTTTGTTTATAAACTTTCTTGACATGTTCAAAATTAAATAGAAATAATTTAATAACTACCATTTCTGTCCTTTAGTGTGACGTAATGTCGTAATGTCCTTGTGACACACATAAAAGAACCACAGATTAGTTTTTATCTCAAAATATTTTTTAAAAAACAGTTGAGTATTGTAATGGGGGATATAAATATCACTTATCTTAAAACTGTATAATTTTCAGCAGGTTTGAACGGATGACAGCGAAGTTTGTCTTGTTGTCAAAGTTTGTCCCGAAATTGTCCAACAAGTCATGGGGGAAAAAATGATGTTAATTACAATTTCATATGAAATAAAAAACACTATATGAAAATAAGCATCTAACAATGAAGACAGTTTCTTTTCTTAATTTTTGCTATGTCACCATGGTTCAGTAGATTACAAGTTTTATAAATAAATAAAAAAACATCAAAATGTTAATAAATACCTCCGGCACAATTGTACAAGTGTCTATTTTAGTAAATGGCAATCATTTTTTTTATCCATATATTTCTGAAAGCGTAGGAACTTGATATATTTTGTCTCTGAAAACCATGTCCTATGGTGTGACACCATATCCTGATTTTAAATTGGCCAATTCCAGAACAAAATTACATTAGTTGAAGGACCCCATTCATGATTATGTTACTGAAGCCCCCTGTGAAGCCCATGACATGTGCACATGGTCAATTTCTGTCTCAGAATTGAACCACTACAAAAGTGTTACGTTTTGTTGTCCATTGGTGTGACACCCTTAAATTATATTTTTTAATTAAAAACTGCATGTTAAATTACATAATCATGGAAAATTATGCAAATGTGTCTTGCTAACCGCTAATGACATGTTAACTCAGAATAGCAAGGTCATTAATTGACAGGAAAAGGCTGAAACGTCCTGTGGTGTGACAGAAAATGTCCTCCGGTGTGACGCCTGTACTGTCACACCATAGGACAAAGATGTCACACCACAGGACAAGGTCTCTTTAAAAAGCATTTTAAATAATTAAATAAGATTTAGTTAACTCCTTTTTATTCTTTTTTTGATCATTTTCAGTGTTCTTAAATGCAATAATTACATTAAATACACAATTTTCTGATGTTTTTGCAGAAAACTTGTACTGTTATAAAGTGTCATGAAAATAAGTATAAAATGTGCTCATTTGTTTATGAAACTGAAAGAATTGAGGGAGAGAAATTACTGGAAGAGAAAGGACATGGAAATATAGACAGAAAATGAACAGGGATCCACCAGAAGGGAGGAGATCCTAAGAGAACGATGCAGAAAGTAAATAGAATCAAAATGATGCCTTAAAAAGAGTAGCCATAAAGTTTTAAAAAATTCATTCACATCTTAATGAATATAGTTTGAATATCAATCATATTTAGCTGTGCCACACATGTAGCAGCGGGGCTAGAAATGTTTCAGTAACATACTGATTGACTAAGAGACTGACTTTTGTTGATGAAAATAATTTTTTGTTTTGTTTAAAACAACATATTGTTTGTATCAAAATTAAACTTTCTTTCTCCTTTGACATGTTCAAAATTAAATAGAAATAATTTAATAACTTCCATTTCTGTCCTTTAGTGTGACGTAATGTCCTATGTTGTGTGTGACACACATAAAAGAACCACAGATTAGTTTTTATCTCAAAATATTTTTTAAAAAACAGTTGAGTATTGTAATGGGGGATATAAATATCACTTATCTTAAAACTGTATAATTTTCAGCAGGTTTGAACGGATGACAGCGAAGTTTGTCTTGTTGTCAAAGTTTGTCCCGAAATTGTCCAACAAGTCATGGGGGAAAAAATGATGTTAATTACAATTTCATATGAAATAAAAAACACTATATGAAAATAAGCATCTAACAATGAAGACAGTTTCTTTTCTTAATTTTTGCTATGTCACACCATAGGACAAATTTATGGTACAGTTCAGTGAAAATGTAAAAAAAAAAAAAAAACAGTTAGTTAATGACACTTTATATTTTCTCAAAGATCAGACTTCACACTACATAAATATATGCATTTCTTCTTCAAAAATTGTCTTTTAAAAAATAAGCATTTTTTACTGCCTATTTGTCAACTACCCATATAGCAATGTTTGTGAAAATATCATAGAGATGTACCAGATTTTTTTAGTACTCGTTTGAATTCTGAACCTGATTTTGTATTTGTTCTTTGTGTAGAATCCTTTTACATGTCCAGACTGTGGGAAACAACTGAGAACTTCAACTGGAATGAAGTACCACCTCATGGCTGACCACAACAACTTGGTTCGGGGTTTTTTTCTAAATTGGCAGTGGCATTGACAATGAAGACGATGGTGTTGATGCAAAGATTTCTTTCTTGTTTGTCTTTTTTCAGTCCATTCCAGATACCGGGAATGACCTAATTGACCAAGCAGTGAAGGAAAAATTGCGGAAAGTACTAAAGAGGATGGGCAAATTAAAATGTTCAAAAGAGGTGTGGTCATATTTTACAATTAAAAGTACTTTGCAAAAAATAATTACTTCCCTTTTTCTAATAATTTGATGATGCAGTATGGATGAAACCTTTGTGGAGGTTTAATTATGTGAATTTGTAGTGTAATAACAATAATATTTAAATATTTTTTTTATCTGTATAGCTAAAAGTTTTAAAGGGGTCATATGATGCGATTTCAAGTTTTCCTTTCTCTTTGGAGTGTTACAAGCTGATTGAAATTTATACTTTTATTCAACAAGAATACAACATTTGATTGATCAAACGTGACAGTACAGGCATTTATGTTACAAAATATTCACCAAAGAATCTTGGGGGGGGAAATGTATCACAGTTTCCACAAAAATATTAAGCAGTAGAACCGTTTTCAACATTGATATTAATAAGAAATGTTTCTTGATCACCAAATCAGCATAGTAGAATGATTTCAGAAAGGATCATGTGACACTGAATATTGGCTGCTGAAAATTCAGCTTTGCCATCACCGGAATAATTTACATTTAAAATAATTACATATATTAAATATTTAAACGTACAATATTTTTGATTAAATAAATGCAGGCTTGGTAAGCATTAGAGACTTTTTACAAAAATATTTACAAATTTTGTAGATCCCAAACCTTTACAAAAAGCAGTGTAAAAGTGAAAAATAATAAAAGGTAGATGAAATGATAAATCAATAATAATAATAGTAATAGTACAATTTTAAACAATAGATGTATTCCATTGCGGATGTTTAGAATTACTGCTGTTATAAATACAGAGTTCTGGCATGAAACTCTAGATGGCGCAGTCCGATAGGTCTAGCTCAATCTGACCTGGTGACATCATTGTCACATGGCAGCTGATTGGTTCTCTCCTGTATTGGTAGCCAATGAGCTCGCCGCTCAGTATTCAAATACCTGGCTTTTGTTTGCTGTAGCAGTTGGCAGCGCACTTCAGAAACCCTCCACCTTCCCTAGCTCCACCTGTATAGATCTGCTACGGGGTGATTCATGTATGCTATATGGGGGTTATTCATATGTGTTATATGTGCAGCAGCAGTATTTCTTACATGCTTACAGCAGCATGTTGTGGATGTTTTGGCAGTAGCAAGTCTCGCTACTTGCTCTGCCGCAGCAGCATTGCAGATCTATTCCACCAAGACCACATACATTAACATTGTCATGTACATTACCATGCCAATCCCTCCTAGAGTTGTCATGACAGAACTCAAATACCTTAAACGATGCTGAATGTTTTGTTTTAGGGTTGCACTGGAACGTTCACTAGTATAATGGGTTATGTGTACCACATGAAGAAATGCGGCAAGGAGCCGTCAGAGCTGGAGAAGCTCTTAATGAACTGCAAACACTGCGGAAAAGCGTATCGTTCCAGAGCAGGCCTGAAGTACCACCTCAAGAATGAGCACAGTCTGGTGAGTCTTCCTCCCCTGTGTTAAATTCCCTGTATTAATAAACTTTATATTAAATGTCTGTTCTGACATGACAGATTCTCATTCAGGCTGTTGATATTTTCACGAATGAAAGTTCACTATTATCTGTTGTTGCAGACGACCCAAGAAAGTGAAATAGAGGAGGTGAAGACACAGAAAGAGCCCATCCCAGAGCGAACACTGAGCGGACGCACCAAGCGCTTGTCGGCGCAGGTGGCCGTGTTCCACTTGAAAGAGATCGCCAGTGAGGAGCTGGTGAAGGAATGGCCCAAAAGGAAAGTGCAGCGTGACCTGGTACCAGACGACAGGAAGGTGCTGCAAAACATGTATATGTCAAACTATGTCGACATGTTGTAATTGCAGGGCTGTGAAGAAGTCAGAACCTGTGTGAAGCTTTTTGGTAAGGCTGCATCACCTTTGTTTGTTTTGCATACTAAGATTTTTATTATTTCTGTTGACGATGGTTGGAATCTTCGAATTTGCAAAAGCACACTTTCGTGGATTCACTAGAAGGTTTTAGTTTCTCTGTCACTTTTTGAGGACTGTGAATGAAGAATCAATCTTTTATTAATTTTTATAGGCATTTATGGTGTTTTGTGTTCATGTAGCTGAAGTATTCTCGTCCAGGGTTGCCGGTTTTTAGCCAGGAGACTCTACGGAAGTGGAAGAATGAAGTCAAACTGCATAAAAAAGTGCAATGTCCAAACAAGGTGTGAACTTCATGCATAAACTGTTATTATTCCAGGTGTTTTTACCATTGTGTTCGAACTTAAAGGGCCATTCATTAATGTTTTACGTATGTTTTGCACTGATTGTAGCATTATGCAAAAGCAAAGATTTTCAGTGAATGAATGGTTTGCTGAATCAATGTGTAATGATCATCTTTGTTGTCAAATTAGGGATGTAACTGCTTCTATACCAGCGTATCTGGCCTAAAGGCTCATCTTGGGCTATGTACCTTGGTAAGAATAATTTCCCTTTGATTTTAAGAACACACAAAATACAGTTAAAACAGTAATATTGTGAAATATTATTACAAGTTAAAATAACTGTTTTATATTTAAATGTATTTTAAATAGTGATTTATACCAGTGATGACAAAGCTGTATTTTCAGCAGCCATTACTGCAGTCTTCACAAGATCCTTCAGAAATCATTCTAATTGACTAATTTGGTTAATTTTGCTAATAATTCTAATTTGCTCAGTGGAAACGGTAACACTTTTTAGGATTCCTTAAAGGGTTAGTTCACCCAAAAATGAAAATTAGGCTGCGTTTAACTCACCCCGGAGGCATCCTAGGTGTATATGACTTTCTTCTTTCAGACGAATCCAGTCGAAGTTATATAAAAAATTGTCTTTGATCATTCAAGCTGTTTAATCAGCGGGTGTTGGATTGCTTCAGAACTTAAATAAAAATCGCCCATCCATAAAAAAAGTGTCTCACAACGCAGCCTAATTTTCATTTTTGGGTGAACTAACCCTTTAATAAATATAAATTTCAAAAGAATACTATTTATTTGAAATAGAAATCTTTTGTAAGATTATGAATGTCTTAACTGTCACTTTAGATTCGTTGAATGCGTCCTTGCAGAATAAAAGTATTAATGTCTTTGAAAAAAATTATACTGACCCCAAACTTTTGAGTGGTGTAGTGTAGTTTAATCATAAAATATATTAATCTGTATAGTATACAGTATATTCTGAAACTAAATCACTATTGCCGTGTTATTAGTACCTAAATCAATAAGTTTCTAAGGTTATCTAATATTGATTTTTCTTGTTTAATGCACATAATTGGATTTGCTCTGGAACAGGATACAGTTGTGGAAAAGATGGTGAATCTTTTTTCTCTCTCTCTCTCTCTCTCTGCAGGGAGAATTTGAAACTGGGAAATTTAAATGCTTGATATGTAAGAAAGAATTCAACTCTGAAAGTGGAGTCAAGTACCACATTAATTCCATTCATTCTCAGGTAACACTGTCATTTTTAATTTTATTTAATTTTATGCTCTTTAAATATCATAAAAATATACATTTTAGAGGAATCATTCTCACTCTTATTATTTTTCATAGGACTGGTTTGTTGTTCGGTCCAAATCTAAGAGTTCAAAGTTTGATAAACTGCATAAGACTCGTCCAAAGGAAGATTCCATGAGGTGTCCAGACCTTCCCTCACCAAACCCATTGCACCATCTCAGCAAAACTGTTGCGTGATGTCGTGATAATACAATGATTTTTGTTTTGGATACGAATCTTTTGACTTTGTAATATGGAAATTGTTTGAATTCTGTTTTGCACACGCTTATATCTAGGAGAATATATATTTATACACATTTGTATATAAAATCAATTTTTAAAATCAACATTTTTCTTTACTTCTAGACTGTGCTGGCAGCAGTTCTGCGGAAGAACAGGTATTAATGGCAGCTGCTGCCCTGAAGTTGGGCGAGCAGAAAGGCAAAAAAATGGGTTTGCTATGTGAAAAAGACACTGATGACCAATCGGCACAGATTAACCTTGAGAGTAAAGGAGTGACTCAGGATTCAGGTGAAGTTCTTGACTCTTCAGAGCCGCAGAAGATGGAGTTAGAGATGCAAATGCCTGGCACGTGGCCAAAGACCAATTCTGATACAATGCTGCATTAGTATCATTAAGATACTATTGTAATTTTTCATATTTTGGATGAGTTTTTTTATATTTTTCATTTTAGTTAAAGTTTCAGTAATTTTTTAGTGTTTTTGTCATTTTTTTCAAATATGTCTAATCCGAAATGCATCTAATTCCTACATTATTCTTTGAAACTTTTTTTTATTGTGTCTGGCTTTCTTAGGACACACACCTAGCTCTGAGGGTCCCCCAGGCGTGGACCAGGAAAACCCAGTCAATACAGAGGGAACCCAAAAGAAGCAAGGACCAAAGGCAAAGACTCCCGCCAAAAGGAGAAGAAAGGAGATCGTTCCACAGACTCCACCACAACATGACAATTCAGCAGCCTCTGATACTTCTGAACTCACTTTTAGTGGTCGGCCCAAGAGGAGAGCTGCGAAAGTGTATGTTCTCCAGTTGTAGTTTCCAAAAATCCATACAGCATGCTGTATGCAAAATGTACAATCACTTGCAATAAAACCAGTTGTTAAAAAGCAGTCACATGCAGAAAAAAAAAACAATTGCGGCATTAACATATATTTAGAAGACATTACTACTGTCTTTAGTTTGTAAATTGCAATATTTATTATATCTCCTGAAAACAATGCATTGCAGTCCTGCAGCAGAGTGAGTAATCTTTCTCCAGAATAATCAATGGTCAGATGACATGTTCTGATCAGGACTTGAACTTACAACAATCTTAACATTGAGCTACTCACAAAGTGGCTTTTTTTTTTTTTTTTTTTTAAGAAAAAAAAATTCAGAAGCAAAACATGGATGGAAATAGAAAACCCACATTCGCTAAACAGTTTTTGCACTTTTGCACACAGCATTTCAACACAAAAGCTTGATATATTTCATTAGGATGCTATTTGTTCTGATCAGCTGTTTCTGTGGGGGCAGTCGTGGGCTAAAGGTTAGAGAGTCGGACTTGTAATGCAAAGGTTTTTGGTTCAAGTCTCGGTAGCGGCAGGGATTGTAGGTTGGGGGAGTGAATGTACAGCTCTCTCTTCCACCTTTAATACCACGACTGAGGTGAGACCCTTGAGCAAGGCACCGAACCCCCAACTGGGCACTGCCCAGAGTGACCCACTGCTCCAGGTGTGTGTTTGTGTGTTCACTATTCACTACTGTGTGTGTGCACTTGGATGGGTTAAATGCAGAGCACAAATTCCAAGTATGCAACACTGTACTTGGCTTCTCGTCACTCTCCATTTTAAATTTTTTAATGATGTTGTTAATAATCAGTTTTTCTTTTCCATCTTGATTAGTGCTTTAGATTATCTCCACAACCTTGCCAAGGATCTTGGTGCTCCATCAGAATCCTCCATGAAAGATACGTCCAAATCTGGTGAAGTAGATGGCACTGACCAGAAAAAGAAAACGCCAAGGAGGAGGGGGGTGAAAAGAAAAATTCCAGATTATGAAAGCGGCTTGGATGACGATGAGGACTTTTCCCCAGGAAAAAACGAAGAGGCAGAGAGTGAAGATGAAGAAGACGATTCAGAGCCAGACCTCAGCTTGAACGTGGAGCGCAGATTATCCAGACCATCCAGCAGACCACCCAGAGGAAATTATGCAAGTTTATAATCTGATACTCACTAAACCTTTTGCACTGTTGGATGATTTTGACATTAATTTCCATATCTGTGTTGTCAAATTTTTTAATTGTGTAATGCTCAATAGCAGTGTCTGCTTCCAAATGGATTGGCTAACAATGTCATGGAGCCTGTTTGGAACTGTTTTAGTAGGACCAAAAAATTGTAAGCCATCCACCGATGATGTAAAATATAACAATTCATATTATCTGTATCACTTGTGTCTTGATAATGCTTGCCCTTCTTTCACCGAATGCTCTTGCTAGCCGGGATGAAAACTTTTCCCCCTGGGTATTTCCAGAGTGGATTCCTTTTGCCAAAGATTGGCATTTTCTGTCTAACAGGTATCAGTGTAGCTAAATACCTCATAATATTAATGGAATCTAAAAATTCTTAATTTTAACAGTCGTTTTGTTTCAATTAACAGTGAGGCTGAAAAGTATTTGCCCCAAGAGAAAGAATCCGCTTCTTTTACCTTTACACGGGAAAGCATCAAGGGACAGATCAAACTGCAAACAGTGAAGAGGTAAGATATCATTAGTTTACGATTAATTTCAACTAGTACTGACCTAAAAATTTATTTGAAGTACCCACTTAGACTTAATATTTGAATAATTTAACAACACATTCACGTTTAATAATAAAAATCATGATTCTCTACAGCTTATAGTTAACTATTTCAACAAATAGAATAATTATAAATATATTGCTTTTTTAATAAACAGTTATTTTTAACCTCAGTTAGGGAAACCCTCAGCTAATAGATTAAAAACTTTTCAGCCTTTTAAAAAAAAAATTTTTTTTTGCAAAGCACACTACTATTCAAAAGTTTAGGGTTGGCAAGATTTTTAAATGTTTTTAGTCTCTTTCACTCACCAAGGCTGCATTTATTTGATTAAAAATACATTAAAAACAGTCCTTTTATGAAATATTACAAATGTATTTTAAAATGTAATTTACTCCAGTCTTCAGTGTCACATGATCCTTCAGAAATCATTCTAATATGCTGATTTGGTGCTCACGAAACATTTATTATTATTATCCATGTTGTAAAAAAATTTCACTGCATAATATTTATGTGGAAACCGTGATACATTTTTTTTGTCAGGATTCTTAGATGAATGGAAAGTAAAAAAAAAAAAAAGTACTGATCCCAAATTTTTGAACAGTAGTGTATGTGTACTCTATATATATATATATATATATAATGTTGAATGCTAATCTGCAGGTTTGAATCATTGCCACATCATTCTGAGCGCTGGGATGCTCTTTTCTTTGTTGGGGGTCCTGTGCGGTCCTTGGAATGGTGCCCATGTCCTGACGGGGCGGCCACAATACAGTATGCTGCCATCTACTGCCACAAAGGCATGGATGACGAACACAAAATCAACAAACTGCACACAGGCCCTGTCTTACTGCAGCTGTGGGAAATTGGAGACCTTCAGTGCAAAAGCAGGTGACCCAGATAAGACACTTACAGATCGGCTTTAAGCTTTAGGCTTTGAGTTTTACAATAAAATAGTAACTTTTGACTTTATTTCCCCACGTCAGGCCCTCGACCGCTCCTCATCTAGCATATGCTTTGGCGATAGATGACGGATGCATCTGGAATATAAGGTGGTGTCCTGCGGGAGTGTGGGAGCTGCCCTCTACCAGCAGAAAGGTATGAAATAACATTAGACCAAAAAGTTTAAGAATATTCGTAGAGAAAACAATATTTTTTTTAAACAACTGTATTAAAATTATGCAAAACAGAAAAAGACCGTTTTTTTTTTTTTGTGTACATATATTTTTTGTTTTTTTGCAGCCTCCACAGATGCCTAGATTAGGTGTTTTAGCAGCAGCTTTCTCTAATGGAAGCATTGGTGTCTACAGTCTTCCACACCCAGAAGCCCTTGCAGCACAGCATCAGAGTAAAGGCGAGTAAATGGTGAAATGCATAACCTATGCTTCTTATTTCTTTAGTAAGGTTACATTTTTTAGCATTCAGGTCCACTTGAAATGGATGTTCCAAAGCCAGTCAAAGTTTAGTTTTTCCTTGACTATTTTCACTCTCTGTCTCTTTGACACTTGAGGCTGTTTTTTAGAACAGAGATGTCCAATCCTGCTCCTGGAAAGCCACCTTCTTGCAGAGTTGAGCTCCAACACCGATCAAACACACCTGAAGCAGCTAATCAAGGTGTTAAGGGTTACTTGATAATTACAGGCAGGTGTGTCTGAGCAGGGTTGGACCTGAAGTCTGCAGGATGGTAGCTCTGTAGGGGTGGGGTTGGAGATCCCTGCTCTGCTGGAATAGGGTCACTCCTAATTTAGAAACTCCCAGTGAATTCATGTGCAATGTGTTGGTCCTTCCAGAAGAGGGCAGCACAAGACAGAAGAGCCTCAAGCCAAGTACTATAATGCATTTTCCCATTACCACTAAACAAATGCTAATCTGTCTTGTATGATGTCTTTGCTTAATTTTCACAAATATTGGAAAAAATTGTTTAAAACAGAACAAACTGAATTTCCTAAAATTGTTTGGAAGAATAACTGTTTAACTTCTTTGTTTGTTTATTTGTTTATTTATTTATGAATAATAAAACAAATAATAATATTATATAATTATTCATAATTAATCATTTTTATGAATTATTATTATTGTTATTATTAAATGAATGAATAGATTAATTGGTTAAATCAAATGATTATAACAATAATAATAAAAATATTTATTAAGCATTCATTAATTTAATAATAATAATAATTACAAATAATGATTAGTAATATGTAGCTATTAGTACAAATAATGATTAGTGATTCAATAGCTATTATTATTTATTATATAATAATAATAATAAATATTATTGAATGAATTAATAGATGAATCAATCAAATCAAATGATTATAACAAGAACAATTATAATTAATTAATTCATTTAATAATAATATATCTGTTTATTATTTAAATAATAATAATAATAATTATTA